GGCACTGATGCCTGGAGCATCCACACTGGCTCCTGCCAGTATGGCCAGCTTGCAGAGGACGTGGGCACAGGCTGGGATATCGCAGCGCTCACAGATGTCGCCCCGGATTACAGGGGCAGCTGCGGCCGCTGCAAGGAGGTCAAGTGCAAGCCCACCGGCTTCAAGGACGGGTGCGCAGCATTAGGTCTTTCACATGTGTGCACAGGCAGCCGTTGGTGGCTGGCGGCTGGTGACAGGCGGCGTGCAGCTCGCAGCACGCGTGGTCTTGCGCCAGCTGTCCAGCTGATCCTGAAGATTGATGTGTTCAATGTGGCAGCGGTGTGTTGTGCTCCTAGGCGGATGTTCCAGATCATTCAACCCTCACAACCCTACCCTGCCCTACCCCCTACTCCCACCGCACCCCTCAGGTACGGCTCCTGGCTGGACCGTTCCAACGTCTGCTACGACACCAGTGCCTCTGTCGTGGTCATGATCACCGACACCTGCCCCTGCCACTACCCCGGCAACTACAACTCCAACAAGCGCTGGTGGGCACACAGCCACGATCCCTGCAGCGGCCGCTTGACGCACCAGCCTGAGACGGCAGCCTGTGCCTCAGCGTGCAGTCTTGTCTGTGCGGCAAATCGCGTGCTTGCTGTCACAGCGGCCTGCGCAACAATGCCCACTCCTGCCCATCCAGGCGCTCACCTGACCTTCCACCCCCCAAAAACCCAAAAAAACTTTGACAACTCCAGGTGCTGCGGCGACATGTACCACATGGACCTCTCCCTGTGGGCCTTTGAGAAGCTGGCGGATACCAAGTGGGGCGTCATCGCCCTCGAGTGGCGTGACGTCAGCTGCAGTTATCGCCCGGCTAAGGCCGCCAAGCGCCCGTGGGGCGGCAAGACCAAGATGCCCGACTGGTACAAGCCCCGCCCCGGGTGGAACCGCTGGATGGACAAGCGCCTGGCCTTCCTCAACAAGGACTTCAACAACAAGGGCTTCAACAAGGGCCGCAAGATGGTGTGAACAATGCGCAGAGGCTGCAGCAGCCGGCGCTCGCCGCTGCGCCGCGCTGGGTGCCAGCCGGGCGCCAGCCGGGCGTCAGCGCGCGGACCCCTTGGTTCCGCGCGGGCGCTGGCAGGGTGGCGAGCCGAGGAGTCAGCACATGCGCAGGGCTGCCTTCCGCAGCCGGGGCGCGGTGTGCACATGTATCCGCGAACACACCCCACATCTCAGTCGCCTCCCTGGCTTCCGTTGCCGCATCTGTGGCGCCGCAAGCCCGCAGCTCGCACAAGCACATCACCAACCGTCCCAGGGCAGAACTAGCAGACGTGCGCATTTGTTTGCTTGATCGTATGTTTTGTTGGTTGTAGCCCAGCTGTGAGGTGGGGGCGCGTTGTTTGCCGCACCCACATTGGTAGTTGATAGACGAAATGGCCCTTGCATGGGCCCGGGCCACACACAGCCCTCAAATCCCACGCACAAATGTACTGTGGCTCGGAAACGACTGGGAGGTTGTCACACTCGGGGCTCTCTGGGGCTCTGATTTATGGCCCTCTGCTTGGTCGCACGCAGCTTGTCAGCCGGCACAGAGCACGCGCCGCGAATCCATTTGATTGATTCCCTCCCCTGCGGCCCCTCTCTCTCTCTCTGTTCATCCAGTGGGTGTTGTTTCACGTGCGTCGCCATCGCTCGCGCACTTACGCACCTGTCTGTTGGGTGTTTTCGCAAACGCTGGTTGTTGAGTATGAGTGTTGTTTCAGTCGTCGGTTCGCACCTGCAGGGTAGGCTACCCTGCCTACAGGGATTTTTCTGTTCCACGCAAACATTATCTTTCTTTGCCTGTTCCGCTTATGGCCCCGCACGAGGATTCAGACCCCACACCTGACCATGCTCCAAAGAGCAGCCCACATTTGGTAGTAACATGTTACTCCAGATTAGCTCCAATCAGCTCTGATCACTGTGTGGGTCACCATACAGCAGGGGGATTCAAGAAAACCACTAATGTCCTGTGAGCATTTAATCCCGCAGACCAACTCAATGTGGAACCAGCACAATGGTGACCATCCAGGGCAAGCTCACATGAGTGACCTCTGTGCGCAAAATCATGTTTCTTGCATTGTCCGACCACAGCCGACGAGCAGATGTGCCCATGAGCATATGCGGCACCGAGTCACACCACCTCGGAGTGCCCGGCGGCACTGCCAGTGCAAACTGCGCAACACTGGGACGGCGCTTGCCTTCAACGCAAGGGCAAGCAACTTGCCCCTGCAGCGGGACGTGTCAGGTTTGGATCTCGAAAAGGAATTGTTTTGGAGTAGAGTAGAGTAGAGTGGACCAGGCGCTGGGCACCCAGTATGTTTCAAGAATTGTTTTGGGTGCTAGGCGCACTCAGTCACCGCCTGAGGCGAAAAGATCGTCGCCTCCTACGCAAAGTATCAAGCAGGTAGCGTTCCTGCAATTGTCCGCCGCAGCGGGATGTTGCCGTTGGGTAGTCTTGACCAGCTGAGGCGCTGAGCGAGCCGTGCATGCAGCAAGGGGCGGGTGGACCACGCTGTGGCCGACAAGCGATGCGTGGCGGGCGGCGCGGGCGCGACACAAGCTTTGAGTCGACTTCAGCCTGGAGACGGAGGGCCCCGCCGTGTCCTGAGATGTCCCGCTACAGTCAACCCTTGGTTATAGTGAACCCATTTTCGGGTGGAATCCGTTCGCTATACGTGGTTTTTCACTGAATCAGTATACAGTAGTGAATTCTAGTGGCTGGCGTTCGCTAAAACCAGTCAATAGTAGATTACAGGCCCCTGGCCTTGACGGCCCCACTGCCCTGGGGGTGGGCGCGAAGAACATGCGAATGTAGCTCTGGCGGCGTCGCAGCAGCGCGCACACCGCCATGCGGTCAAGCCGATCCTGGATACCCGCACCTGCCACCTAGTCAGTTTCTACGAGAATCTCAGGGTGTGCAGCCACATAGGCCGCCATCTGCGGCAGCGCCTGCTGTGCACCTGCAAGGTCGAGGGGCGCCGGCCTGGGCTCCTCGCCCTCGCCCTCGCTTTTGCTGCCGCTGCCGCTGCCACTGCGGAGCGTGTCTGAGCCCTCCTCAGCCGCGCTTGCCCTGCGACTTGCCCATTTGAAGCAAAACTACGGCTGGAAGAAGCGTGTGCGAACGCTGTGGCGCGAATTTGTTTACACGGTGGCTGCAAGAACTGCGCACCCGTCAAGAAGGCCTGCCGCAGGTGTGTGCGCAAGCAGTGACTGGTGCCCGCTGCAAGGCGAGTGCCGCGTGCGCGTTGTGCGGCAGCGCACCTGCTGTAGCTCTATGTGCCATAAACATCATTAATATGTGTCCCTTTTACAAGCACAGCCGTATGCTAAGTGCTATTCTGTTCTCTAAGTTGTGTGGAACACTGGAGCCGCATCTGCATGGCACGGGCGCGCACACCCCGCGCTTGCAGCAGCAGGGCCCCTGGTCACACTGAAGGCGGCAGGCTGGCGCCGTTCGCTGTACGCGGCTTCTGAATTCGCTATATCCGGGGGCAAAATGTACTGAAACGCATTGGGACCTGGAATTCATTTGCTGTACGTGGTTTTTCGCTATAACGGTGTTCGCTATAACCAAGGGTTGACTGTACTAAACCTGCTTTGACGAGGAAGCCAGCAAGCTCGTCTTACGTGCTCCTCCTCAATGTCGGCCGTGGTACCCACGGTTCCCGTCATCAGCGCCAGCCACCGTTCAGAAGGCCAGAGCCGCGACAGCAGCTGGCACGCCCCCAGCCCCACCCCCGCCCCCCAAGCATCTGCGGGACAGCAAAAATTTCCACGCGCGCGCCACGCACTCAGCGCCCGCCACAAAACGAGGCCCCTGCTGCCGGATGCATCCACCAGGTGTCTGTTGATGTGCCCTGACCCGGGCCACCGGGGCCGGTGGGCAGGACGGGACAGGAACCAGACGTGCCCGCGCAACCTCCGGGGAGCGGCATGGGATATCGTTTACAATGGCCTCTTGCGCAGGGCTGGGCGCAGGGGCGCGGCGTGGCACGGCGAGGGACAACTGTAACTCGAGCCTCTGGCGGCGCGCTTCCGGGTACAACTACAGGCGCGGCAGAATGCTTGCACCACACATGTACAGCTGGCATCTATCAGCGGCAAGGGCAGGCGGCTCGCATGCGCGGCGGATGTGGGCGGCAAGCAGGGGCGGTACACCTGGACAGCCACAGCATGGGCAGCAAACGCGGGCGGCCCGCATGCGCAGCAGCAAAGGGCGGCACACGGGGAAGGCGAAAGTGGGCAGCAAACGTGGGCGGCTCACACGTGCAGCAGAGGTGGGCAGTAATTTTGAAACGTTGTACGTGGAAGCGGGGGCGGCAGACAGGCTGGCTGCGGCCGCCGAGAGGGCGCGCCAGGCCCGTCAACGGCGGTGCTGGTGGGAGGCGGCGGCGAGCAGCGACCGGAGGGGTGATCACGTGTGGGCGATCACTCCTGAACGACCGCCCGCCCTGTGCTCGCGCCCGCGCCTGCGCCGCCGCACGCCCCTGACGCCGCCAGCGCCGCGGCGAGCCCGGCGGGCGCCACGCGCGCGTTGCAGAGGTTTGCCATGAGGCGCGTGTGGCGCATGGCATACTGATCCATCGGGCCGCAATCCGCCTCCCATGCCTGGCGGTGTGTGTGTTTGAGTGTGTGAGTGACTGAGTGAGTGAGTGTGTGTGTATGTGTGCATGAGTATGTGTGTGTGTGTGTGTGTGTGTGTGTGTGTGTGTGTGTGTGTGTGTGTGTGTGTGTGAGCATGTGAGAGAGAGAACGGGTTGGCAGTATTTTCGGGTGCATGCAGGGGCAAGCGTGGTATCAGGGGTAAGGCAGGTGCAAACAGGCCTCCTGCCAGCCACCCGACCCGACCACCCCCACCTCCCCTCTGCACGTCACAGCCAGCCAGGGCGCCCCATGCGCGAGGCCCTCCCCGGCAACGCGGCCGCGGCCGCGGCATGCTGTGCCTAAAAACAAGACCCACCTGCACCATGCCGCGC